CAGTCTGTCAGAGGAAAGCCACAGCATCCTGCAGGAGCTCTACCTGACCAATAACTGGCTGACGGACAAGTGTGTGCCGATGCTCACGGGTCACACACACCTGCGGGTTTTGCACATGGCATACAACCACCTCCAAACCTTCCCAGCCAGGTAAAGAGTTCCTTCACAGTAATTTCCCCCCTCCTGGAATAATTAAAATATTTATTTTGTTGTCCTTTTTCTTATTATTATTTTGAAGGAATGTCATCATCAGTCAGTAAAAATGAAATATTTCAGTTTTTCAAGAAATTTATGGAGGAAATCTGAACATGCATTATAAAGATGATTATAAATGTTATGGGGGGGAGGGGTTATTCATAAATTAAAAATGTGTAATTCCTAAATAAGTTTAGGATACATTTTTGCTTTACCTGCATCTACATCACCGTCTAACAGCGTTTGCTAACAGTGTTTGCATGTGGTCCTGAAAAGTATCAAATTCAATTTGAGCATTTTCCAAGCCTGGAAACGTATAGGGAGGATAACTTAGACAAAACTATGTACTTCTGATGAGAGATGACATTTGACTCAATGTTTGTGTTTGTAGCACAGTCGGCACACACATGCAAGGAAAAGATCACATTATGACAGCTGACCTCACCTGTTCTTTAAATAAATTAGTTTGTGCTTCAGCTCATCTGTTTCCTTCTTTACCCTCCAGTAAAATGGCCAAGTTGGAGGAGCTGGAGGAGGTGGACCTGAGTGGAAACATGCTGAAGACTGTTCCCACCACCATTATGAACTGCAGACGGATGCACACGCTTATTGCCCACTCCAACTCCATCGAGGTCTTCCCTGAGGTCATGCAGCTGATGGAGATGAAGGCAAGGCTTCAGCAGCAGCTCATCTTTTTGAAGTCTCTGTGGTTTTGGCGGCTCTGAACCTCCATCTGCAACATTCTGGTTTTTTTTTTTTTTTTCCCCAGTGTGTGGACCTGAGCTGTAATGAGCTGAGTGAGATCACTCTCCCAGAGAATCTGCCTCCAAAACTTCAGGAGCTGGACCTCACTGGCAACCCTCGCCTCAACCTGGACCATAAAACCCTCGAGCAGCTGAAGTACGCCAACTTCATTTGAGCACATCTTTTTTTTTATTTTCCACCAGAAGCTCTTTCTCAATTTACTCTGTTTTTCCTCGCGATATATTATTTAGTTTTCCTTTATGTTCATTATTTCTCTGCTGTTTGTTCATAATAACATATGTATTTATGTGCCTGGAGATAAGGGAATGATTTTGATCTGCTTCGTGTTTTTTTGTCTTCCAGTAACATTCGCTGTTTCCATATTGATCCACCACCAACCTTTTCATCGAATGAGGCATCTGGGGGCCCCGCTGTGTGGAGTCATGGTTACACAGAGGCCTCAGGCGTAAAGAACAAGTGAGCTAAATTCAGTCAAGAGTGAAAAGAACAACCTCCATCGTGTTTGTGCTGCAAAGCCTCGCTAATATAACCCTTCTGAGAATTTGTGTTCTGAAAGATAACTTTAATGAAAGAAATATGGAAGCAGTGCTCTTCTAAAACATGAGCACTTGCCGCAGAATTTCTTTGTTGGGGAAAAGTAGAACCTCAAAGCAATGTACAAATCAAGTATATTCCTTTGATTACAGAAAAGGTTACTGTAGCCTGGAAACGTCTAGAATTTGCTTTCAGTATTTTCCATGTTAGGAGAATTATAGAAAAAATTTATTCCCCACCAGAACTGTCTGAATGTTCTCCATGCTTTTCTCCTTCCTCATATACTTTCTTGTGTCCTTCTTTCTTTCCCTTTTTTGTCCTTCCTTTTGTTTTAGTTCCCATCCCTGTGTCCTTTCTTTCTTTATTCTGTTCTCCTTGTCTTCATTTCCTTTCTTGTCATTCTTCCTTCCCCCCTTTTTTCTCGACTTCTTTCTTCTTTCTTTGCTTCTTTGTTCTTTTCTTTGTTTCAATGTTTGCTTTCTTGCTTCTGTCCTCCCCTGCTTCTTTTATTTCAGCTTCTTGTATTTTTTGAGTTTTCATATTTCAAGTCTGCCCACTCTAGAATATCTGTTGTAAATTCAAAGGGAAGTTTGGCATTTTATATCTCTTGAATTAACATAATGGACTGAGAACTTGGAAGATTTTAAAACACATCTTTGCATGAAAAATATTTGGGAATCCTAGCAGATATTTAGATGTTCATCCAAACTGATCATAACAAGCATTACTTAATTCGTTTCCTCACAGAGCGATTGTCTGTTCCTTTTCAGACTCTGCGTTGCTGCCCTTTCAGTAAACAGTTTCTGCGGGAGTCGGGAAGCTCTGTACGGCGTGTTTGACGGAGACAGGAATGTGGAAGTGCCCTACCTGCTGCAGTGCACCATGAACGACGTCCTGGCCGAGGAAATACACAAGACAAAAAGCGAAGAGGATTACATGACCAACACCTTCCTCGTCATGCAAAGGTACGTGACCAGCAGTAATACTCTATGTTCTCTAAACGACTGGACGTTATTTTGCAAGCAAGTGATTTTTTTTTTTTTTTTTTTGGTGGGGGAAGAGAATTTTGGTGGTGCTTGTGAATTTTTTGCTGTTGCAAGAGAGTGGCACTAGATCTAAAAAAAATGTGGTTAAATATTGTTTTTGTGTGCTGTTAGTGATAACACTGCACAACTTAAAGTTGTGTTTTCTTGACGATCAGTACTTTGTTTTGTTTTGGTTTTTCTTTGGTTTTCTCAGGGCTTTGACTACAGTTATGTTGGGTCTTTTTCCAAAAAGAGTTCAGCAGATTTTTAAATACTTTTTATCATCAGCTTAATTATCGCAATAAATGCCACAAAAATAGTATGATAAACTCTTAACCACAGATCACCCGTCCCTACCATCAAGTCGTCAGAGATTATGGATGGGAAATGAATCTGTTGACCAAACCTCTCCCATTCCCAGGGTTTTAATTTCCGGGTTTTGAATGGCATCATAATTATGTTTGTACCCACAGACTCCCTCCTGAATACTTGCAACTTAAAATCTGTTCAATAAACCGTCATTCTCGCTCTCTTGTTTTTTTCATCCTTTTTCCCCTTGAAGGAAATTGGGAACAGCCGGACAGAAACTCGGCGGCTCTGCAGCTCTGTGTCACATCCGCCACGACCCCACCGACCCCAGTGGCTGCTTCGTCCTCACAGCAGCTAATGTGGGAAAGTGCCAGGCCATCCTGTGCCGGGACGGGAAGCCCATGTCCCTGTCGCTTCTTCACAATGTGGGCCTTGAGGAGGAATACCGTAGGATCAGGCAGCACAGAGCCATCGTGACTGAGGTTCCACTAAAAAAAAAACAAAAAAAACTGAAGCTAATCTAGTTTCAAATGTTCTCTGTATTGATTTCCATCCTCCTGTCTTCCAGGACAACAAGGTGAACGGGGTGACTGACTCCACAAGGATTATGGGCTACTCCTTCCTTTACCCCTCAGTCATTCCTTGCCCCTACGTGCAGACGGTGACTCTCACCCCTCAGGATGAGTTCTTCATCCTGGGCAGCCGCGGGCTGTGGGACGCTGTGTCTCCTACGGAAGCAGTGGAGGCGGTTCGGAATGTCCCAGACGGTCTCGCTGCGGCTAAGAAGCTCTGCACCCTGGCTCAAGGCTACGGCTGTACCGACAGCCTGAGTGCAGTCGTGGTGCAGCTCAGCGTGAGTGAAGACTGCTGCTCCTGCTGCTGCTCCGACCCGCCCCAGCCTCCCCCGAGCCCCGGCCTGGGCGCCTACCCGTCGTCGTCTTCTGCCATTAAGGATCGACCCTCGGACGGCTCCCTGCCCGTTCCGCCGTCTTCCTGCAGCGAAATCAGCAGCGAGATCAGCACCAGCGAGATGAGCAGCGAGGTGGGCTCCACGGCCTCGTCCGACGAGCCCCCACAGAGCTCCTTTGTGCTGCTGCAGGATCAGCCTCACCACCCTCAGCTTCACTTGCACCATCAAGCCCAGCTGCTGTCTCTACAGCAGCAGCAGTCCCACACCACCTCCCAGTCCTGCCAGTATCTCCTCCCAGGTTCAGAGCTGGCTTCCGCTCGGAACTGCTGTGCGCTCCACCCAGCCTGCCTGGCCGGCTCCTTTCAGAGGCAGCTGTCCAGCGCCACCTTCTCCAGCGCCTTGTCCGACAACGGGCTGGACAGCGAGGACGAGGAGCCCATCGCCGGCGTCTTCTCCAACGGGAGCCGAGTGGAAGTGGAGGCAGACGTCCACTGCCTGAAAGCGGAGCTGTCGCAGTTATCGTCGCCCCAAAGCCTCGTACCCGCTTCGTCCAGCCAGGAACGCACCTTGCTCAACCTTCCTCCACCGCCTCCACCCCCGTGCACCCCCGAGCCCCTGGAGGACGGAGTCGACCTGAACCTGGCAGAGGCCGAGAACGGCCTGGAGAGAGACGAGTCGTGGCAAGGCGTGGGAGCAGGAGCTGGGGACGGTGGGAAGTTTCCGGGGAAGAGGAGGGTTAACGGTTCGGTGGCGCGTCAAGAGAAGAGTCACAACCTCATCGAGGTGGCAGCCGACGCCCCGTCCAAGAAATCAGGGGGTTACTTCACAGCTCCAGCTCAGCCCGACCCGGACGACCAGTTCATCATCCCCCCTGAGCTGGAGGAAGAGGTGAAGGAGATCATGAAGCAGCATCAGCAAAAACAGCAGAAGCCAGCCGGGACGGATCAGCCCACTGATTACTACGACACCCCTCTCTAGACGGACACAGATTCATCTCCTCTACAGCACGCCGCGATTCTTCCGCTCATGCCCACGGACGGGTGGGGTTTTGCCTGGAGGCTGTAGAATGCATATGTGAAAGTGTTTCACAGCAGGCTTCTCTGCCATGCGCCGCCTCTTTGGAGGAACATGTAAGGAAGCATTCTCAGAGTGAAACAAGCAAATGAGCCCTTTAATGATCCTCAACCTCCTCAAATCGCCTGAGAGGACACAAATTCCAGAGTCCCGCCCTTCTCGCAGACCCGACGTTTATTTTTGTTTTGTTTGTTTGTTTTTGTTTTCTCCAGTACATAATCAACACTAGTCTATTTGCAAATAGCATTAGCTTGTCACCGTACTTAATATGGATAACGATTCCATGGTTTATTTTGTTTTGTAAGAACTTAAATCAGTGTGATCACAGTGAAGTTGCTAAAAAGGAACCTTTTGAAATACAGACTCATCTTTTTGTTATCAATCGACTTTTGGTGTTTCATGCGCCATTAATACCACACCTAACTGTTTTATATAGGGCACTTAAAATACTGTATTTCTTCAGTAAATCACAGCTCTCGGCCTGTAAAATGACATAGAGATTTTTTTTGTAGAAAATTTCCAATACTAACTCCTAGGAGTTGCATACTCTTTATGGTGACTCAGTCACTTTTTTACTAATCTTCTCTGAGAGAAATGGTGATTCTTTTTCAATGATTGTAAATAAGAAAAATGTTGTATACTGATGCTTTTAAAAGGAACTGTATGTCGGTGAAGGCTTGTAGCTGTGGGGAGGATTTATTGTTTTGCTGTTATGGAGGCGTGCCCCCTTTATCTTACGGTGTAAACCCACAAACACAACATCGACATCACAACAGACACACACACACACACACACACAAGTGTAAATGTGCAGTTGCAGGATGGAAACTAACGTTCCGTACAATATTTATACACTAAGTTGCAATGGTTTGCTCCACTTTGTTGAACTGTGATGTCCTGTAGTCATCACTGTATCTACTGAACACTAATAGGTATTTGCATGCACACGCAAACAATCACATACACACACACACACACACACACACACACACACACGTACACACATGAGACATTCACATACATGGATACTCACAGGTAATTAGTCCCACCTCCCTCCTACAGTAACTGTTATCACCGGCATGACTGTGTCTAGTTCAGTAACACCAACAAGTATAGCCACACGGAAAAGAGACACTACAAAATGTTCCTGTCTTTGGTATAATAAATTTTAAATTTGTGAATATAACCGTTGTTGTCTGAGACTTTATTTTTTTTTCTTTTTTGACATGTTAACAGTTTTATGCAAAGATCACAACCTTAATAAAAGCTTCATTTAGAATATCTCCATTTACACATTAAAACTTCCTCCATCGCGTCCATGACTTTACATCAAATAAATGACCAATAGGTGGCAATCTAAGGCAACATTAGATTTAATCCAGCTCTCCGTCAACAGCTGTAATCTTTTCATTGACAAAAAAGTCCAAGTTATTGTTAGGGTCCATCATTGGCATGCACATTTTGCATGTACATGTTGCTGTCGTCGTTCATAACCTTCTTCTTGTACTTCTTCTTCATACAGAAGACGCTGACGACTGTGATCACTAACATTGCTCCCAGCACAGACAGAGAGGAGGCCAGTGCTAGAGTGGTTTTATCCTGCGTGGAGCCTTTGTGCTGACAGACATTCCCGTAGTACCACCAGTCGTTGCCCACCACACACCTGCAGAGCAGATGAAAGGGGATAGAAATAAGAAAATCTGACCGTTGTGTTTTCAGTATCCCTACGTAGTTTCAAGGTTTCTAAGGGGTCTTAAAGAGTCATGAGTTGTTTTAAATGTGAGAATATGAATTTTTACATCCTAAAATGTCTTAAGGGCATTCTGATATTATAAGCTCATAAATTACATTATCTCATGCTGATGTTTTTTTTTTACTAATTAAAAAAAAAATAATAATAATAATGGATTGGTGCCATCCATTAATTCTGTTCCTGACTAAAATAAACTCAACATGTTGCCTTATGCTGTGACAAAATTCATTTTGCAGTATAATTTATTCATTCCAGCTTGTGAACCATCAAGTGTTCTCTCGAAACAGTTTTTTTTTTCTCTTTTTGTAGCCCTTTAGGAAATTGAGACGGTTTTAAACAAATTATTTCTCATAATCCATGTAGGTCTTAAATTCATACGAGTGTTTTCAGAAGGCTTTGATGAGTCTTATACCTCTCAATAACAAAATCAGAGTTTCTGAAGGAAAATAACTTATCTTTGGTATAATTTGGGTATTTCATTGCATCATTTTAAAAACAAAAAACAGCTTACCACTGACTGTGGTTATTTTTTACAGTCAAAACCTGCTCACCTGCAAGAAGGCTTCCCTTGATCCCCAACGCAGATTCCACCATTCTGACACAGCACATTTTGGCAAATATCTGAAGCATTAGTGGTTGTGGATGTGGATGTGGTAGGTCTTAAGGTTGTGGAAGGCACAGGCTGGGATTGTGTCAGATGGGCCACATCTATAAACAAAGATAAGATAAATGAGCGATTATATCCTTACATTGCTTTTATATGTGCAAGGGAATGTATTTTCAGCACAGTTACAACCCTGATGGTAGCAAATAGGTTCGCAGATCAATCTTATTGTTTTATGACAGCACGCTTTGGATTGATTATATTGGTTTGATCTCTGTAGGCCTATATAACCAAAAGGGGTCCCGCACAGCTTATGACACAGAGAAAAATTATGATAGACATGGATAAAATGGGGAATAGTGATGATGGGACAGGTTCAGAAAAGCAAGCCATTCCCCATCCATTGCCCAAGAGAGCTCTTTGTTGTCAGCTCCAGGAATCTGTGTTGTTCTGACATAGATTTATTGTACGTATCAGAATGTTGTGGTGTCGATGTGTAAGTAATAGGAAGAGTGGGTGTTGGAGCATTTTCAGAGGAGCTGACGTTGAGTTTATGTAGTAATCGGTTGCCTTTACCTTCCATTGTGAGTAGAAAGATGGCATCTCCTCCCTTGATAAAGTCTCTGCTCTTAGCTCTGAGGTGTGTGAGATACGCTGCAGTACCAAAACCCGGCCCTCGGAAATACTTGGACCCATCGGTATCCGTCACCTCAGTGCCAACCTTCCGTGGATCGTCCCAGAAGAAAAGTTCAGAATCTGAAACAATGTTGAAAGGTTGCGTTGAAGTTTAAACTATAAAGAGCAGCTAAGTGTATGTCACAAGATTTTTTTCAGTGAAAGCCTTACCTGTTGCCTTCATGGTTGGGTCAGTGGTGACGCTGCGCTGATTGGACATGCGCTTTTGAATGTGAGGGTGCTGATCCATCAGCATCATGGTCATCTGCTTCCACGGGCAAGGCCATGTTTGTCCGGTGTCCCCTTCCCGCGCCACGAGGTGAGCATAGGCAGACAACTGCCCAGAATAGCCCTCTTTACCACTGGGGTAAATCTGCATCTGGAAGGTGTAACCCTCCTTGGACGTGAAGGGGGGGCTAAAGATAGAGGTGTCGGTTGGGGTCGTATCCATGACATGGCTGAAGTTTTTCACCCGCCATACAAACTCGGGGCAGGTGGTCTCGGAAAGGTTAATGTCATCCAGTGAGAGTCCTCCTGCTGCCGGCCCCGAGGCCCCCTTTGTCCCTTCAAAGACAACTCTGAACTTTTTTTTCACATCTAGACTCACATGATGCAGCTGCCACAAATCCTGAGGAGATCCTATGTGAAAATGGGGAAGAGGACTGAAATTAGAAATCACTCGATGGCTTCATTTCTCCAGCAGAACTCTGTGAGCTGCACGGCTTTGACGTAGTCACCAGTTAGTGTTGTTATAAAGCGCAGCGTTCCATTGGGATTAGCTTCATCGTACTCCCTGACATGGATCTTCAGGGTGTCGCTGGGACCAGCGCTGTTGTAGTAGAAAAACTGCAAACACTGGTACCCTCTTTTTGGATAAACAAGCCTGCTCTCCAGCACGGCTGTGTCTCCAGTGTTGGCCGCACCAGTGCTAAAGTGCATGAAGTATCCTGATCCTAAACAGAACAAGGGCATAAAATATAAACGTCAGTCGGAATGTATTGTATTTGCACTGTGGATGTGACAGTAGCAGGCTCACTTTAGCATCCTTGGTAAAGCTCTGTAAAAACCTTTTAATTTAGTACTGTGAAAAAGACAGTAGAAGAAATGCCATGTACTTATTTTAACTATTTTTTTCAAAATCTGGAATAATAGTAAAAAAAAAA